GCCGCCTGGGATAAAGTTCAGTAGGGATTCATATAAGAATAATTTGGCAAACCTTCTTTGTAGAACTCTGCACTGTGCCAGTATCGCTGCTTGAACGTTCCCTTGGACGGGTCATCGTGGTTGATGAGCTGATCAAAGTAATACACCGTGTCATAAGGTGCCACAGCCGCGCTCTCACGAAAAAGAGCATTGGACGATTTATGGTCTCCCATGTCCACCTTCGGTATTCCAGGTGCTTTGGGTATGGCTCGACGGTCCAAGATTCGGCCTAACGCATGACTGCCAAGGATAATGGCGAAGTAGAAAGACTGAAGAAGCATTGCGACTGCAACACTAGGCCGAAGACGCGCCCTGCCATGAAGCACTGTTTAAGGCCAGTTCATCCTGGTCTGGGCACGGAAAATATTCGCAAGCAATTGATGGAGAAGCAAAGAAAACACATGGTAACGGCGTACGAACGACGACGCATCGAACCGCCAACCAGCTAAGAATTCACAGGACAATATCAATTTGAGTTATCCACACTATATGTAGCGACACGTACCAAGCCTCCCCACTACGGCTTCTGTCGCCCGTAGCACTAATCTGTGGCAACGTCAATGACCACTGTGGCTATTTCCTCCCGTTGTCCGTCAAAACGCTCATGTCGCTACCCGAAAATTTTGTTCAACGGGACAGTCAGCCCGGTAGTCGCCAAGGGATTTGCAATGGCCCATGTACGATGTCGTGTCGGAAAAGAGATGGCCAAGATTCGGGATGAAAGTTCGATAAAGAGGAGCAGGTCCAACGTGCACATAGGTGCGCATACAAGGACTTGGGCATTACTGGCGCCAACCATAGTATACAAGGGCAAGCTCGACGTCCAACAACTTTCGGTATTCATCGTTGCAGTCACCAATTGTGGGTAAAAACTCAGTAAAAACGGGAATTGTCGAGGTCATCGTGGTCGTGATCAAAAGTAGAAATGGTGATCGAGGGTCCAGTCATGGCTTAATTTACTACTCCCATCGTGGTCACGACCGCCATGTCTTTTCGTCGGCGTCAACTGCGACAGCAACAACGAGCGCCAATCTTCCGAAACTGCCCACCATAAAAGCATTTTCTCTCTGTTGATGAAGAAGCACAATTTAGTGCGACATCATCGACATCATGGAAAACAAATAGTCGTATTGCGATGACTGAGCTGTGAAGAAAGACGTTCTCTATAGGTGAGCTGTTACTTCTCTACCATCAAACTGCAGCATCTAATACTGACAACGTCTAAGGTTTCCTCTTCGACGTGTTGCGAGCTCTACGCCATGATCTCGACAGGATACTTCCCATCTTGGAACATCTCCCAACGTTTACTCCAACACCCGCACCAGAGTTTTGTCCCAGCGGTGGATGACTGCTCCCATGACCTTTGGGGAATGTTCCTATCCCTAGACGTCGAAATGTTTTCGCCACGAAGGAGATGCCGCCGGAACAACTGGATTGGGGATACAACCTTTGTACGTCTGTCTATCAGAGGCGCTCTCGAAAAGCCCAGTACTAAACATTCATCCTAGAAAGATACTGTAGTGCGTACACATGTCGACGTCCCAATCGGATCGTCATTTCACGTCAAATATACCCGAGAATTTGACCATTCTCCTTCCTTGGGTCATTGCATATGAGGACCAAAGTGAATCCTGTCGGACATAAGTACAGCATATCTGTAGCTCCAGGGACACAATCTCTGAGCGGTTGATTCTGTCGACTTCACTTCATCGGGCAGCCAGCCATCCAACCTTGTCCCTAAAGCTCTCCGTTCTTACGCTCTCCGCATTACCCGCTGAAGTTCTGAGGCAGGGAGGCAGGATAACCTCCCCAAACACTGATACCTTGGTTTGAGCCATCAACTATCTTGCGGGAGGTTGAAGGAGCGGAACGTTTCTCCACGGCATTGTGGTTGAATGTTTTATCCGAGGAGTTTATGCCATCAGCCAGTAGGACGCAGGATAAAGCAAAGGGAATGTATACCATCTCGTGGCTCAATGACCAAACCCTCTCGACACAGAGAGAGAAAGGGCCAAACTTTGCTATGTCCAGTTAAGACTGGTATTCGTGTTGTTTCCCAGGTTACCGTATCTTTCATTCAGTGCGAGTGTTTTGCTCATTTCTTCTCCGTGTTTTCCTTATGCTGACTATGTAGGCGTATAGATGCATAGTCATTATTATTATATATGCCCTTCGTTCTTCATGCTACCGTACCGAATGCGGTCTTGGTTGGGTCTATGGCGGTATCACGTGCCCAGAAATATAGCGCTTTTTCCACCGACTATTATTCCTGCACTCAGATGGATATACGCAAGTCTTGGCCACTGCGTAAGTACAAGAGAAGCGGGAAAGAAACGGTAGGCGGACCGGGTTGACCAAATATAGAACAAGGCCCGGAGGATGGTCATCAAGGCATGTTCTGCCATGAACAACTTTTCTACCAATTGCATGCAGTACCGCGATACTTTCAAGCTTACCTTATGCGTGGAACAAGTGGGAAGGGTATGCTGCTGTTGCGAGATTGTTCCTCCTCGTGGCTTCCGAGGGCCATCTGTTCTGGGTACGTTCTGGCGACTAATTTGTCGTCCTGCTTGTACTTATCTTTATCTTTGTCAAGACATGGATGCTCTTGTACGGATCCGAGTAATTGGAGAGCAGATATTGACTCAAATCTTTCCCTAAATAGGGTGAATTTTGGGAAAGCCGTAACATTGCATTTCATAAATCGGAAGCGCTCATGCGGTTGCGTCAGTCTTTGTTACGTGGCTATGGGTTCCTTGTTCTCTTCGAGTTGCACTCACTTGCAAACGTGGCCACCGTGGCTCTTGATCTTCTCGTGAGCCCAGACGTACGAACTCAGAGTGATCTCCTGCATTGCTGCAGCTCATCTCAACAGAACGACGGAATAAAGCGGAAATCTCTGCTGCTATTCCAATTGCCAATTCCTCAAGACTGTGCTTTGACTGTCTGTATCACGACGAAGGTTCACCACCTAATCCGGACTTTCCGCTGCCAAAAAATGCTCTCGCAATAGTTATTGCTGAAATACGTACCATATCTTTGCTCATATCCTCTCTGTTATTTCCTAGTCGCCATTCGTCTTTGTTTAAGACAACCTGTCGAGCCACGCAAAGACTTCCCCGATGCTTGTTATAAAGGCTGGAGAGCGTTTAGCTCGAGTCCATAGCATTCTTTCCTCGGTATGTCTTACTACTACGATTCAGGCCTCTTCCAGGTTACCGATGGAACTGTACGATACTTTCCCCGCCTTTTTTCATCGCCGTTTGCTGATATCAGCCCACTCTTTCGCAGACCAACAGGCTTAATGGATACCCGGCACCCAATCCCTATCACGCGACATACCCCTACGACACGACCAGTACTGACGACTTTGAGGCGTTTATTGCGCAGGTTCAACAAAACGCACATATTGCAGGAAATCAAGAATCTACTGCTGTAGTGCCGTCGTCCGATTTGCGATCGGTTAGACCAGCGTTCAATTTCTATCTAAAAGCTCTTCTACATCACAAGGTTCCTTCTTCTGGTGACTACGCGTCCGCTCAGAGCCAGCCGGACGAAAATTCGACCGACCAGATAGGCGCTACCATTGACGTTCCGAGCTCCGTGTCAGCGGGGGAGCCGCTCCAGGTGGGTAATTATGTGTTCTAGCAATTTCGTCAGAATCGTTAATGCAAAAGATGTTGAATAGGTCCCTGCATCCGTGCAAGAGAGACCGGTAAGCTTTCAACATCTATTACTTCTATGAGGGTAGTCATATTGCTCCCCAAGACCTGGATGTATCCCATCCTATTCGTCGCGCACCCTGTAAGAACCAGTATACCGGCCAACGAGCCATACTCATTTCTACTACCTGTCCACAGTTTTTATTCAGGAAGAATAAGGACAAAGCATGCGTTCCAGAACCATGCAAGCCCCCCTCGGATACTCCTTTCCAAGTCTTGAAATCCTCTCCGGTGAGCCTTGTTTCTACGTCGCTTGCAACTATACCTATTGCTCCCTGTAGCCCCAAGATCTGAAGCACATCTCAGAGGCGGTTGGTCCCGTAAAGTATCGATATCCAACCCCTGGATTGTCTGCAGATCAGGTTAAAATATCTTTCCAAGACACAACTCCCGGATATGCTGGAGTTAGCATGTCCCAGATCTTGAAAGGCGATCGGGGTTGTATGGAGATGTCGGATTTGGTTCCTTCTGAGAAATTGCCGGGGAAATCGCCCTATATCGACGTTGTGTTTCGTGTAAGTTCTTTGATTATTGGCGACAGCTGTTTCTCATTGTATATTCTCAGGCAAATGGATACCTCCCGCAGTACATTCGTATTCCGATAGATTGTCGCCACGCCAAGCTTCAGAAGATTAAGCCGACGTATTATAATTTGGCTTATTCTGTTTCAGCGGGATTCCAGGACATCTTACAGGTATTATTTCCGTCCCCTTCCTCTGCTTCTACCCTGTTCACTGATATGCGTCGTAGAGAGAGAAACCGAACGTATTGCCTGAGCAGTCAGTGCGGACTGAACATCAAGTGCCGGTCGTAACAGATGTGCGCCACTTGCGCTTGCTCTCACTCTATTCTCTTGGTAGCAACAAGAAGACGTGGGGGGCAGATGTGGTACTGATCGACTCTCTTTTCTGATACAAAGAAGCAAAAGATCGCCAAGTATATATAAATTGAACATATTTTTCTATTTTTGACTATTGTAGAAGAGGGATTTTTTTTGCCGGTCGCAGAACCTCTCAAAATAATAAACCCGTCCTCTAAGGCGTTCCATAAAAGCCTCGGTTCCCAAACCATAGAACCATGGTTCATCTACATGTAACGCGTATCAAGCTCTCGCAGGTTAATGCAATGAATAGGGTGTAAGCAAACTGGAATGAAGTTCTTGAGAAGATTTGTTAGATAAAAAAATGTTAATGTTTGGGCGGCTGTTTTGATGGTATCGGTCCGGTACATCTTTGTCTGCTTCTTACCACGAGGACAAAGTGCCTCAATCCTTTGGGTACAGCCTCGTTGCAACGATTGCTTGAGTATTACGCTGTGTCGAGTTCCTAGAGGACGTGGAACAGTACGTGTGGTTTTGTAACTGTCGGTTTTCACACCCTCATTCCATTCCAATATGACAAGGAAAACCCAAAATGAATAGAAATGAATGGTTCCAACGTTATTACGGTGATTATATTGATCTACTCGAGTGGGAGAAAGTGGTAAGCACGTAAAATTACAGACGGATGCGAAATTATTAACATTTTTCTCATATAGCGCACGAACATAAAGTATATGAGTCTCCCAGAGGTCACCCTCTCTGCCTTCACCGAAACCGGACAGACAGAATCATCCATTCCAATACCGAAGCAACGGTCCTACACTGGTAGAAAACCTATCATGCCATCTTCTCTTGCCAACACTCGCTGCACCGACCTCGGCGTCGAAGGTGTCTTAGAGATGCTCAACACTACACTCGGAACGTCATACACTCTGGAGAATCTTTCCTTATCCTCTCTTATTGACGCCTACATCACCCAAGACTATGATCTTGGCACTGCCTATGCTCATCTTCGCCCAGTCTGGTATGGGTCCATCATCGAAGACGAATTACGCACCCTCAAAGCACGGGACCAGGGGATGCGGCAGGATGTACTGGTCAAAAACAGGATCATCGACTGCCGAGTACCTCCTCGACGCATTTGGGATTTGTACAGCAACCGGGTGGTGCCATGGTGGGTCGCACGCCAATGGCCGCAGCCAATATCACATGCTTGGATGGAACGGGAGGATCGTGTTGAGGTGCTGACACCCATCAACGGATATAATTGGCCTGTGCCCATCCCGAAGGATACCAACCTTAACCTTATCCGCATAGAGATGCTCAATCTGGGTGCGGAGTATGTGTGGTTGGATGTTCTTTGTTTGAGACAGGCAGGTGGGCAGAGGGAAGATCTGCGCATGGAGGAATGGAAGCTGGATGTGCCGACTATTGGATTTTTATATCAGAGGGCCAGCCAGGTTGTGTGCTACTTCAGCGGGCTCGGCCGGCCTTTCAGTCTGAAGGCAGACGACTTTGAGAGCGATAGATGTTGGTTCAGACGCGCATGGACACTACAGGAGATCAGCAACAATATGATCACTGGCGGGGATACAGGCAATGATGGGACCATGGAGGAGATGATACGAGTGAAGTTTGAGAAGCAACTGTCATTGTTGCAGTTTGTCAAGTCAAGATTTGCCGCTAATTTGTTTCATATGCTGTCGGTGATGCAGGAGCGGGTGTCAACGAATACTCTGGATAAAGTTGCGGGGTTGACATACACACTGTTGTCGAGAGAGGTACCAGCATACTATGAAATGCAGTCCCTTGAGGATGCATGGACAATGTTGGTGAATGACATGCGAGAGTGGTTTCGGTCAGACCTTCTCTTCCTATTCCCTAAGCCCGGGAACGGAAACAAAGGTTGGCGACCATCATGGAGGCAGGTCATGACTGAGGTGCTGCCATTGTACTATACTAGAGGATATTTCGGTATTGGGCGGACAGAGGAGACAGATGCCGACTGGCATTGGGGTCCCTGTTTTGAATCGGGTTATGTGCAGGGATTGGCCAGAGAACTTCAGGAAGGAAAGCGCCGACAGGGTGAGTTAGTCATCGAAGACAAAACTGGAGCAAAGCACGCATTCAAAATCATCGCTGATCATCAATATCCAATACCGGAAGGCTCATACACACTACTAGGCAGTCCCCCACTCGACGGTCTAACTGGCTGGGTCCGAGAACAATACTGGCTAGTTGGGCAAAGACTCCCAGAGCAGAAGCTTAAGAAAGTGTCGGTGTTCCAAATACACGGTAGGAAGGAGGTGAAGAGACTGCATGATCTGGGCATTGCTGCAAAGGTAAAGACCTTTCTTGCGTGAGGTAGACATACTTTTGTGAAAATCTCTTTTAATGGCCACTTCGTTCGCAGTTTGGTGATACGGGTGATCGTTTCACGCAAGTTCACTGCGCGTTATTGTGACCTGTTAGTCTTAGGTGGTGTCACCTTCCTTTTTCGTTCTTAACATCTCACTACCATGACCGACGACAGGTATGCCATGAAAACGCTTGACAACGACGACGACAGTCACCGGAAGCTGCTCAGTGATGACGATGAAGAAGACGGAGAGAACGAGGCTCTCATCCGCCAACAACCGGTGCCTTCAGATCCGCGATTCGACCAACCAACTCCATCATCGTTCGCTCGCGCAGGGCTACTGCTACTCGTCGCCTTTTTGTTCTGGTTGGCGTTTTCACTACGAAAGGCGGTGTGGGAGGGTAAATCCTCACAAAGGTTTGTCTTGAGATCTCGGTTATGCACGGTAGCTGAAGGCGATGTCATAGGTCATCAGATACATCCTGGTGATGGGAGGGAAAGTAGATATTTGCAAATTGTGTTGATGATGAAGGCGTATGTCGGCGCCTTATATTTATTATCGCCCAGGGATATATCACGGTGATAGGTGTGTGTTCTTAATCTTATTCGCTTTTCCTTGCTCAATGTGCATACAAGGACATTTTACTATCAGGACTTTTGAATATAGGAACCATTGTTTGTATTCTACAAAGGAATTAACCTCTTTTACGCGATTCTGGGGCAATTACCGTTCACCAAGATACGAAAAGCTTCAGTTCGGGCACTATACTACGGGATGAAGATGGAAGCTACTGTTAACCGTTCACAGGACCTGGAGACCAGAGGGAACGTCTGCTCTATTGATAGGGTACCGGTGCAGGCGCCTATACAACGATAGTCACGGTTTCCAAAAGAACATACTATTCCCACGGAAATAGACGCCTTCCTTACCTCTTGTCCTCCTTCATCGATCAGCCTGCTGTACCCCCGTCATTGTGGCCATGCCTGTACCCTCCCTCCAGCAGCAAGGACGAGACCAATGGTCTACGACGAGCCCTTTGTCCATCAAGTCAACGTTCACATTTCGTCTATGGCCAGGATCGCATCAATCGCCTCGGTGCGGATGGGGATGGAAATTTTCCATTGAATACGAGAACGAAATCTTTTCGCAGGACTCCACAAAGCTCGTGGCCTATTTCGATTACACTGCTCCAAGGGGCACAGACTTTTTTGGCCCGTCATTGACAGTATCGGGTGCAATCAGTGGTCCGTCGGTATTGCACTCTCTTGGTGACAACGTCGATATCAAATTGGGTCCATCGGCGGCACCACAGATTGTCAAACGTACTCTTGGGTCGTGCCATCTGTCGTTGACGGATGCAGTCTTCACTCTCGAGTTCACGGTCACCTTCCCTTTCCACGAGACCATCTTCTCGCCGATCGGTGCCAAAGCGACCTTCCTCTTCGAGGGCTTCGGGGGCTTTAAGGGACATGATTGAAACAGGAGAACTCATCGACACCAAATTTTACTTGTTCAGTCGTCGGCTGGGGGAAGGCCAGGCTTATTGTCCCAAAGCTCTGTTTAGCAGCAGCCGTGTGATACTAGGGGCGAGTGATTACATCGATACCTGTGAGCATGCTACTCTTACTCTCTTCTGACCGTGTTCGCTGATGTTGACCTGCCTCCAGTGCTTGATGGGAGCGCCTTTTCTGAGTCGAAACAGGTCGATATCGATGAGCCCATCGACATCCAAGCAGGACCCTATTCGTATGAAGCCGACAGTGACTTGGAATCT